GATAGATAGATAGATAGATAGATAGATAGATAGATAGATAGATAGATAGATAGATAGATAGATCAAAGCGCACCTTTAAATGGAACAGATTTGCCCTAATTGCATATTTATATAAAGATCATTAATAAACATTCATCCATTTTGCTCTTTGTGGACAAAAACTCAAGCATTGAAAAAATGTAATTTAGCTGTTGAGGTACAAAATATTTTTTTAAAAAAATAGTGAAATCAGCTTAAATTCTAAGTGCAAATCCATTCATTTGTGTCTCAATATAAATATCCACTTAAAAAATTATACTGGAAAAATATCCATCTAATGGGAAAGACCCCTGTTTAAAATCTTGACAATAGATAACCAATACCACCTAAAGTAAACAAGAGGACCCAAAAAATGACCTAAAACTTGCACATCCTAAGCTATATAAATATTGAAAAATAATCACGGTGGATTGCAGAAACCGTGTCTATTATATCAGGATGGCAGGACTGGGGTTGGTGAGCTGTGTGCTTAGTCTCTGAATCAATTTCTCAACCTTGGCTTGAGACTTTATCAGGGCTGAGAGGCAGGATTATCTGGCATAAGATGCCACAATACACCTAACCAAACTCTTCTGAACTTTGTGCTCGGGGTGGGTAAAAAAATGAAACGGGTTTTACCGATTAGACAGATCCATTGATACAGAAATGGATAGTTTATTATACTACTATGTAAAAGTGAAAAGTTGAGGTTTGATGTTACCGTCTTATTTTACTGCACCAAATGCCTTTTCTTTCTTTTCCCCTTCTTTTCTACACTCTCCCCTTCCCCTGTTTTCCTACTATTTGTTTTTGTATTTTATATTATCAATTATAAACAAAACAAAAAACAAAAAAAACCCACCAAATCAGACTCAATCTGCCTCCTCGGGGAATTAGAAGAACTTATCTATTAAGGTAAGATAAACCACAGGGCTAATGTGTTTCAGCCCAAATCTGAGACGACAAAGTCCACCCTTATAATATCCTATCTATTCCACACAGAAGGTATTTCAGCTTGGCTCAAATTGGCAAACTAAGGTACCTACCATGGTAAATATAGTACAACAACCTAGAAGTAAGGAGGAACTTCCTGACAGTGAGAACAATTAACCAGTGGAACGGCTTGCCACCAGAAGTTGTAGGTGCTCCATCACTGGAGGCTTTCAGGAAAAGAAGATTGGGCATTTGTTTGGAATGATATAGGGTCTCCTATTTGAGCAGGGGGTTGGACTAGAACAGGGGTGTCAAACTTGCATTGTTATGGCGTCGTCACATGACATATCGCAATTTTTCCCCCTTCACTAAACCAGGCATGGGCATGGCCAGTGCATTATGTATCTGGCCCCACCGGCCGCGAGTTTGACAGCCCTGGACTAGAAGATCTGTAAGATCCCTCACAACTCTGTTATTCTGTTATCTCTTAATTATTTATGTGTCTGCTCAGATATAGAGGTTAAAGCAGTAAATCCATGCATCCCATGATTCCCATCCCTTGTTATCCTGCCTTCTTGTGCTTTGGAAAATAAGTTGACCCCCTCTTCTCTGTGGCAGCCCCTCAAATATTGGAGCACTGCTATCCTGTCTCCCCTGGTCCTTCTCTTCGCTAGACTAGCCAGGCCCAGTTCCTGCAGCCGTTCTTCCTATGTTTGAGCCTCCTTCCCCCTAATGATCTTAGTTGCTCTTTTCTGCACTCTTTCTAGAGTCTCCACATCTTTCTTTATATTGTGGTGTCCAAAGCTGGATGCAGTATTCTAACTGTGGTTTTACTGGAAGCTGCACTGCTTTTCAATGTCTAAACTTCAACAAATGGGAAATACAAGTAGCGTTGCCAAATGAGATAAATCCCAGAAAACAAAGTATAAACTTCATCCCAATTCTCTGTTTGTATTTGTTTTCAAAGTACATTAACATCCTGGAATTGGTCAATATTTTCTTTTGTGAATTCTCTTTTGTCAGATGAACAAAAAAAAAAATATGTCAGAGATGGAGCCAAATTATTCCATTTCCTATCTTTGCAGGCATTGACAATCCATTAATATTCTATAAAGTTATTACAATTCACAGGAAGTTGTTGAACAACAGGAACTGTTGAACAAGAGGACATTTATAATGCATTCTTCTTTTAAGATGAAATTTATATAGCTATGCACAACTAGTAGATCCACTAGAGAGGAAGAAATCATTGTTTTATGTATGGATAATGGATAGATAATACATAACTATATCCTTTATTGTAGGAATGATATTTGTAGGGAAGTAATTATGCAATATTTCCTTCAGAAAGTACAGTAATATGAGTTCTGCCGTTATTATATTCATAAACTGTTTATGGCGTACAATAAATTTTATATGTTTCCCAAAAGTCTGTTTGCCTTATTCTTTCCCTACTGCTTGCAAACAAACAAACAAACAAAAAACCCTGGGAAAACTAGCAGAAGAGAAACATGTCATTCTCTTAGCCCTTCCCTTCCCTTTCCATCCCTTCCCTTCCCTTATTCTCCTTCCCCTTCTTTTCTCCCCTTCCCTTCCTTTTTCTTCCCTCATGTCCCCTTTCCTTTCCTCTCCTCTCCCTTCCCTTCCCTTCCTTTTTCTTCCCTCATGTCCCCTTTCCTTTCCTCTCCTCTCCCTTCCCTTCCCTTCCCTTCCCTTCCCTTCCCTTCCTTCACTTCCTGAAACTCTACATTGTCTTTCTGCTTCTGTGGCCCTTCTAGGCCAGGTGTCTTTCAAATGTGCTCCATCACCTTTGGAAACATGCCTGGGTGGAAAGGTAATATGCACACGTGTGCAGTCGCATGTGTTTCAGAAAGACTAATGGACAGAGGTTGACTAATCTCACTCCTCAAAGTACATAGAATAATTGGCTACAAGATTCCTTGGGGGGGTCTTCTAGTCCAGCCCCCTGCTCAAACAGGAGACCCTCTGCCATTCCAGACAAATGGCTGTCCAGTCTCTTCTTGAAAGCCTCCAGTTCCAAAGTAAGCCATTGCAATGATAATTGTTCTCATTGGAGGAAATGTCTTCTTCATTCTAGGCTGGAATTCTCCTTGATAATTTTCCATCTGTTATGTCTATGGGGATTCTCAGTCATCCACCTCATGGTTACCCCAAAGGTGGTTTTCAAAAGGCAAGTGGACTTTCTGTTTTGTTTTGTTTTTTTCTTGAAAACATTTCAATTCTTATCCAAGAAGCTTCTTTGGTTCATCCAAGAACTGAAGAAACTTCTTGGATAAGATCCAAGAACTGAAGAAGTTTCTCAGATGAGAAGTGAAATGTTTTCAAGGAAGGAAAAAAACCCCAAGGAAATCCAGTTGCCTTTTGAAAAGCACCTTTGGGACATTCATCCATTACTTCTTATCCTGTCCTCCGGTGTTTTGGAGAATAAGTTGATCCCCTCCTCTCTGTGACTGGCCCTCAAAGCAAGAAGACAGCTATCATTTCACCCTTCGTCCTTCTCTTCCTTAGATTAGGCACTTCGCAGTTCCCATAATAGTTCATAATACACTTTATTCTCCAGACCCCTAGTCATCTTTGTTGCACTTCTCTGCACTCTTTCTAGGGTCTCAACATCTTTTTTGTATTGTGGTAAGCAGAACTGGGTGCAGTACACCCAAGTGGGGTCTCACCAATGCATGTGTGTGAGTGTGGTGTGTGTGTCATTCCTCATCTCAATGTGGGTTTGAGCAAACTCTTCAAGTAGTTTATTCAGAAGAGACAGAAAAGTGAATTAGAATTCTTTATTGGCCAAATGTGATTAGACATAAGGAATTGGTCTCTGGTACATAAGCTCTCAGTGTACATACAACAATAATGATAAACCATTATCATAGTCATTGTAAAAATACATTCATCATAAAACATTAGATACAACACTGAGTCATGGATGCTAAATAAGCAATCAGGTTAAAGGGCTTCCATCAAATTTGCAGGTTCTCTGATGAAAACATTTGAGGAAGACAATGTTGTAATTTATTAAAGGTAAAGGTTCCCCTCGCACCTACATGCTAGTCGTTTCTGGCTCTAGGGGGCGGTGCTCATCTCCGTTACAAAGCCAAAGAGCCAGAGCTGTCCGAAGACGTCTCTGTGGTCATGTGGCCGGCAGGACTGAACGCCGAAGGCACACGGAATGCTGTTCCCTTCCCACCAAAGGGGTCCCTATTTTTCTACTTGCATTTTTTTTACATGCTTTCAAACTTCTAGGTTGGCAGAAGCTGGGACAAGGAACGGGAGCTCACCCCATTACGCAGCACTAGGGATTCGAACCGCCAAACTGCCGACCTTTCTGATCGACAAGCTCAGCATCTTAGCCACCACCTTGTAACTTATTATAATTTAAGTATAAATTAAGTACAAATTTAAGTGCAACTTAAATAAGTTACAATTGTAACTTATTACAATTTACAAAAAAACCCACCACCCCCCCCCCCCCCCCCAAGAAAACAGGTATGGAACGGGTTATATACTTACCCGCAAGCCGAAGTAGAGCAGGAAGAACACATTGAAAGCCATGTCTATCTGTAATGTGAAATCTTTGTAGAAATTCTGGCAAGATTCTATTGGTCTATTTAAGAAAAAGAAAAGAAAAGAACAGAGTTATTTGGAGGAAGGAAACCAGCATAGGGGGGAAAAGAAGGTAAAAATTAAGATTTAGGCGGCTCCAACCCTGTCAGTCTTCAGGAAAGTATATATATAAATATATCTTGGTGTTTCCCACAGGTATTTTGGACAGCATAATCGATTAGCAGAGAAGTCTCCAAACTTGGCAACTTTAAGACTTGAGGACTTGGAGAATTCTAGGAGTTGAAGTCCACAAATCTTAAAGTTGCCAAGTTTGGGGAGCCCTGGATTAGCACATCTGTTAGGAATAGATGGTGCAACGTATAAGCTCTGGAGGCGTATTGTTAGTTATGTTTGTTTATGGATTCCTTTAGTGGATATTATACTCTCTCTGCAATATTATTTTTTCCCTGGGTTTGCATTCGATACAGCTAATTCTCGACTTACAACCATGGCTGAGCCCAGAATTTATGTCGCACAGCGAGACGTTTTGTAAAGTGAGCTTTGCTCCTGTTTTACGACCTTTCTTACCACCTGTTGTGAAGCGAATCACTCCAGGGGTTAAGTTAGGAATGTGGTTTGTTTTCCCTGTCAATTTTGCTCCTTGGAAGGTCATAGGAGGGAAACTGTGACCGTCATAAAACACGAACCGGCTGCCAAGCATCCGAATTTTGATCACATGAACGTTGGTATGCTGCAACGGTCGTAAGAGTGCAAAAAAATGGCCATATGTCACTTTTTCCCAGTGAAGCTGTAACTTGGAACGGTCAGTAAGTGAAATGTTCTAAGTCGAGGAATATCTGTATATGCTGCCTGGAGCCATTATTACACAATGTAGGCAGCTATATCAATCTCATAAATAAAGCCTGTTGACCACTGACATTATCTAGATCAGGGGTCTTCAAACTTGACAGCTTGCCAAGTTTGAAGACTCTTGATTTAGAAGTTCAGCCCACCCAGGCAATCTTTGGAGAGAGGTCACCTCCTCCCTCACAGGCTATTACTCCAAATACCTTCTCAAGGAGCTAACTAGAGCAGGGGTCTTCAAACTTGACAGCTTTAAGACTTGTGGACTTCAACTCCCAGAATTCCTCCTTCAGTCATGTTAGCTCAGGAATTCTGGGAGTTGAAGTCCACAAGTCTTAAACTTGCCATGTTTGAAGACCCTTGATCTAGATAATCCAGTCTTTGCTATTTTGGGTCTAGCTACCCAGTTTCTCAAAGGCCCAGAAGCATTGGTCCTCACATTGTCCTTTGAGTACCTTTGCGTAGACGAAAACATTGGATACTCTTATTATTCACATCTTCAGTCAACAGCGGAAAGAGAGAAAACATGCAGGCGCTTTAAAGGAAGGACGAGCAAGAGAGAGCTCAACCCCACATTAACCCTTAAAGAACTGACTTCCTTCTACAAAACATTTAAAGACACGCATCAAGATTACAACTTGGTTAGCCCAAAAAATTTTTGTGCAACAGTTTAATCTTCCAGGAAGAGATCAAACCCTCCACCCTCTGTGATGGGAACTTTCTAAGCTAGTTCTGCTATTGAAGAGCTTACAAGAATAAGCTGGACAGATTTTTTTCCCCTCAATGTTTGGCCATTTTAGGGAATTTATACAAGCTTTTCGTGATTTTTCAGCCTGCTGTTAATGATTTAATCTTGCCTTTTTGACAAATAATGTCAATGTAAGTCTAGGGCATTTTGATTCTTCCTTTGACCACGTACTAAAGGAAGGTGTCACAGAAGGATATTCCCCCAGTGAGAAACCTGGGAGAAATTCTATAGGAAACTGGATCGATACCAAGGTTGAAAGAAATAAAGCGAATCTCTTTGCCAAGAAAATAATACAGAACAAAAGTCCTAGAATTAGAAGCAGGACTCTAAGGGTTAATTTTCACATGCAGATTAAATTATTATTATTTTTCCTCCTCCTTTTCTCAAGCAGTCATTGCAAATGCATTGTTTTTTCTTGAAGAATCCAGGCATACTGTATTCGGTTTAGCATCCTGTATACGAAGTGGTGCCATGCTCTATTTCAATATAACAGCTTGCATCGATCTTTAAAAAGTGATTTATTTGTGAGAGTCCTGTGAAATGCTTGAGAAGATGACAGACATCCTTGAGATAAAACAACACATTCCAATATTTTGCACAAATTGTCACTCGATTGGCCATAAACATTTAAGTGGTCGCCATTTATGCTTTGTGGTGCATACAAATCAGTTAATATTGGGATGAAAAGAAAATCAAGACAACAGGATGAAGCTCACTAAGAAATTGCAAGATTTGATGTCAACAAATAAATCACAGTCTCATTCCGGTTAGTGTCGGGGTAGTTCTGGAAATTTGTGGTTAAACTCATTGGCAAGCAAAATTCTATGCATTCTAGTAACTTGTAGGCAATGAGGGGATTAGCTACACATGCAGTCAAATTCCAGTTGACTTGTAAACAGCTCAAACAGTTCTAACAGTAGCACGCCCTTTCTTAAATTCAGGCATTTCATAAGCAGGAAACATTTCCCTGATGGATAAGGACCAAATATTTTTTTTAATTATTTGTTTGTTTGTTTGTTTATTTGTTTGTTTGTTTGTCAATTGCTTACAAGATAATAGGTATAAGTATAAACATGAGTGACAATACAAGAAATAGGTATGAATAAATGGGGACAATAGGACAGGGATGGTAGGCACGATGGTGCACTTATACACCTCCCTTTCAGACCTCTTAGGGATGGGGTGAGGTCAATAGTGGATAGTTTGAGGTTAAAGGAGTGGGGGGTTTGAGGATGTAACCTCTAACCCCTACTCATTTGTCTCACCATTGCATGAAACTTTTTAACTCACTCGCCCATAACTTCCCCACAATGTCTTATTATCAAGAAAGAGACATAAAAATATGCATTGGGAAAGAATCTGGGGAAAAGACAGAAAAGTGAAGGAGGCTTTTTTGTAGCTCACCTATGATCAGATCCTCCAAGGTTAACTTGAAGTCATGGATCTGAAAAAGGGATAATTGTGCTGTGCTAGTTCTCATTTTGTTTTTGTAAAGGACACGAGGGAAACGTGTGGTGGCATTGTATTATTCATACATCTGTTTTTTTAAGTTTCCTTGCATGGTAGCTAACATAGGTTTCCCTAAATATTTAGCGAGGTGCCACGGAGTCAATTCCAGCTCCTGGTGTAAACATAGACCAATGCTGTCCCAAAGGTGCTTTTTTCAAGAGGCAACTGGACTTCCTTATTTTTCTTTGAAGACGTTTTGCTTCTCACCCAAGAAGCTTCTTCAGTTCTGACTGGATGGTGAGGAGTGGGAGGAGAGACAACATAGGAGAACAAACCCAGGAGGACAAGATTCAGGAGTCCACCTGCATTTAAAAGACAAAGACCACTCTTTTGAAGACAGCAGAGTCCACATTTTGGACAGACAAGATTACTGGTTTGAAAGAGGGGTCCAAGAGGCCATCTAGGTCAAAATTGAACAGTCCTCCCTCAACAAAGTGTGACACAGACAAACCTCCAAGTGGCCTCAATGGCCCTCTAAAAGGATGCAAATGACTAGCGGTCTGCAAGGAATATAAATCCTTCCATTCCCCACTATCCTGTCAGAGCTGAAGAAGCTCCTTGGATGAGAAGTGAAATGTCTTCAAAGAAAAAACAGAAAGTCCAGTTGCCTCTTGAAAAAGCATGTTTGAGACAAACATGACCTGGATGACTGAGAATCTCCATAGACATGGCCCAACACTTATCATGCTGATCTTAGTTGGGATTACCATTCTATCCTTTACAGAGGAGTTACAGCCAAAGGTTGTACATATGCCAAGTATCAGCTGAACAGTTGAATCACACATCAAGTAGACATCATGAAACTAACTGATGAAAGTGAATAGGGTAGTTCATTCACCTCTTACAGCGTGCAATTGTTCAAGCTGAAAAATACTCAGAAATATTTTGTTACCCTACTTATCGTTGTCATACACTTTGAAGCTACTGTACAGTGTGTGTGTGTGTGTGTGTGTGTGTGTGTGTGTAATTCTGGGCTATAATATTCCATTGTGTATAAATAAATAAATCCATTTCATAAATCCATTCTACCCCTTTTAAAAGATTGTGAAAAACTGCCTGGTATTTAATTGTGCATTTGGGATAAAAGTAAGCATTCAGAAGAATTTTGTGTCTTCACTCAACATCCATTGAATTTTATTTAATTATTCCTTCATCATCCATATTTGTAGACATGCAGAAAACATTACTCATCATTGACTTTGGGGTCATGCTGTAGTGGGTTCATTGAGTGATCCTTTCATAATGATCACGTCTTTCCTAAAGTCACCAAGCGTCTAAATTCAAGGAATCAAATTACATTAAAGTGTACTTTTCGCAACGTGTAACCTGAACAATCTGGAACTGAACACACTCAAAACCGTAGAAATGGTGGTCGACTTTAGAAGAAACCCTCCCATACTACCACCTCTTACAATACTAGACAACACAGTATCAACAGTAGAGATCTTCAAATTTCTAGGTTCTATTATACCACATGACCTAAAATGGACACCTAACATCAAAAACGTCATCAAAAAGGCACAACAAAGAATGTTCTTTCTGCGCCAACTCAGAAAGCTCAAACTGCCCAAGGAGCTGCTGATCCAGTTCTACAGAGGAATCATTGAATCTGTCATCTGCACCTCTATAACTGTCTGGTTTGGTTCTGCAACACAACAGGACAGACACAGACTTCAGAGGATAATTGGGACTGCAGAAAAAACAATTTACTACCAACCTGCCTTCCATTGAGGACCTGTATAGTGCACGAGTCAAAAAGAGGGCTGTGAAAATATTGACAGACCCTTCACATCCTGGACATAAACTGTTTCAACTCCTTCTCTCAAAACAATAGAACACTGCATACCAGAACAACTAGACACAAGGACAGTTTTTTTCTGCATGCCATCACTCTACTGAACAAATAATTCACTCAACACTGTCCAACTATTTACAAAGTC